TCCTTCAGGATCCAATCTATTCATGGCAGTGGATGGGAGGAGAGGTCTTCACATGGTCATTCAGAGGCTCAGGGTCCATCTCTCTGACATATTCATCATCTTCTAGGTTGTTCCCTGGATTCATTCCATCCAGTCAGGTATTGAGCAACAAGGGAGTGTAAAAGACCTCTTAAGGGATTCTGGCACAGATCTCTTCCACCCACATTTCATTGGCCAAAAACTCAGTTAAATGGCCTCAACTATCTCCAGGGCAGGAAGGTAGTGATGCTGTCTGTATGTCAGGACTAAGAGGAGAAATGATGATATTGGCAAGCACCTGATCTTTACCACACCTAAAGTGAGATTCTGCACATGTCCATTTCAGATTGCTTTCTTTAACAGATCACTTCTCTCTGCCCAAGGAAGCAGATTACCTGATAGAAATTTCTCGTGGCTGTCCACTCAGTGGCTCAGGAATTCCTTTAGATTTCTCCTGGCCTTCCTCTAGTTTCTCTTTGTTTTCAGTGCAGTTCCATCTGTCTCTTATACCTTTCAAATTGACTTGTATAACCTTCCTGACTCTGATCTAGTTTCTCCCCAGGAGACTTCTTACTGGATTCACCTTATTCCCTCCTTTTCTCTAAGAAGTACAGCCACTCCTAAGCTTGACCAGTCTTCTGAGATACAGTACTTTGGCCATGCCAAAAGGAAAATTTTGCAGTTAAGGGGAAAATTGGGAGCTATTTTGATTGGGGGAGTGTCATTACAATGTAAACATGGTTTTTAGAAGAGTCATTTATACCTGGTTGAATTAGACTGGACTGAAAAGGACTGAGGTTAGAAAGAGGAAGAACAGTTGGAGACTATTGCTAGGGTACTGGAGAGAGATGACAAGGGACCGAACTGGAACAAAGGTTATGGGGTGAAGAGAGAAGGAAGCATTCAAGAGATGACTGTGAGAGTAGAACCTATGCTTGGAGGCACATTTGGCTGGGAGGTGGAGGCAGGGAGGGGACAGCGCCACGTTCCATCTGCAGCCCTGGGCCAGCAGTGCACTTCCAGTGCCTCTGATTGTCTCAGCCCACCTTCTGGGCCCCCTCAACTCAGCTCCACCAAGTAGCAAGACTGCCCAGCCCCTCCAATCTACTTGCAAGGAATGTGGAGTTACATTTAATTAAAAGTATCTACACAGAAACGAGATTAATTAAGTCTCTTTTACCCAGGAGCCCTCTCTTTGTGTTCACTTAAATGAGGTTTTAAATGTTGTCTCAATGTTATATCTGGGCAAGATTTCTCCAGACAACACTTTGTGTAGTTCCAAGGCTCTCGCGTAGCTAGCTGTAAATTATTTAGTGATGAGAACAACCCAAGGACAGTCTTTTTCCCCCTTCTGTCAGCTGAGCTCTAGACAGGTGGGGACCTTGAGCCCCTGAAAGTGGAGTTCTATAATGAAATAGCGGAAAGTTCTCTCACACAAGAGCTGCCTCCCAAGACCACCTCTTGATGCAGAATAGGTGGTTGGGGATGCTCTTTTGAGTCGTGTTTATGTGATGTTCACCTGACCCAAGTTATTCTGAATACAAACATGGCCTCCAAGACTCACGTGGCTGATTCAACACCACTGCAGGCAAAGCTCTGCTTGTAGTCAGAGCTGGCTGCTTGGATTACAGAAGTTCACTGCCACATCCAGCTTGTCCTTGGACCTTTTCAATCTATTTATGACACAGGTTGGAAAATAGCCTTACTCTTCCTACCTACAATGGTTAATTTCATGTGTTGATGTGACTGAGCTAAGACACGATTTTGGGATGTGTCTTTGAGGGTATGTTCAGAAGGGATTATCATTTGGCTTGGAAGACTGAGTAAAGAAGATCACCCCACAGTGGAGGTGGGCATCATCCAGTCTGTGGAGGATCTTAAGAGAACAAAAAAGCTGCAAAAGGTCAAAATTGCCCAGTCTGCTTTGAGTTGGGACATCCCTGGTTCTCAGGCCTTTAGACACAGATTGAATTATACCAATGGTTTTGCTGGTTCTCCAGCTTGCAGACAACAGAACATGAGACTTCTTGGCCTTCATAATCTGTGAGCCAAATCTACAACAAATCTCTTAAGTATATATATTTACATATCTTGTTGGTCCTGTTTCTCCAGAGGATGCTGACTGACACACTATCTCTTGGTTCTGTCACTGAAACACAAAGGTGATCTTCCCTTTTGAGACCAGGTAGTCCCTTTTGTGCTCAAAGAATTATAATTTCCATTTTCTGTGTATTGCCCACATTTGGGTCATTATTAATTTAATTTGGGAAGCATTTATTGAGCATGGTGAAGCATACTATAAGATAAAGTTTTAGGGCCCAATGAGAAGCTTACAGATATTGGAAGAGAGATGAGCCGCCAGAGTGAGGAGGTGCAGGATCCCTGCTAGGATAGGCTTCTGCCTGGTACACCATGGCACACAGGGAAGGGGTATAAACTCAGGCCTGGGGTGCAGGATCTTGGAGGACATCCCACCAAAATGAATAGGAATCCCTAAAAAAATGAGTAGGGTTGTTCCAGAGATGGAGATGTTCCATAAGAGCAAAACCTACTCACTTGCTCAGAGGCACCAAAGCAGTATGGAGCCCAGACTGAGAGCAGCAGCCTGGCTTCACATCCTGCTCTGCCACTTATGGACATAAGAGCCAACTCTGAGTCCACAGCTTTCTCGATGTAAAGTGATGGAAATAACTCACCAGATATTTCAAAGGGTTTTATGAGGATCAGATGGAACAATTCCTGAGCCTAGCTCATGCTGGGCTCTCCAGAAATATGAATCTCCCTCCTTTCTGTCTGGTATAATAGATTGTTTTAGTCGGATGTGTTAGATCCTGGCAATAGAAACTGACTCTGGCAGATTTAAGCAGAAAATGAATTTATTTAGAAGGTGTCTGGTGATCCCCTGTTATCTGGAAGGTCATCGGCAAAGCCAGTCTTGGAAAATAAGTGAAAGTGAAGAGAGGCCATGTGGTCAGAAACACCTGAAAAATCACATCACAGCTTCCTTTCCTCAGAGAACACTACCAGCCTGCCAGCGCTCTTTCAGGGATGGGGCTTCTTCTACCACTGGTCCCAGGAAGAAGTCTCTCTCATCCCTCCTCATTTGCCTCCTGAGTAGGTCAGTTTAGCTAGCCTAGGGCAATGCCAACTCTTCTTGGAAAGTATGTGGAATTTTCCATTTCTTCAGTGAAAATATACTCTGCCTCCCACCAAGACTAAAGTGGTGATGGGTGGGGAACCCTCATACTACTGGAAGGGGATTCTGATACTGTAGTGCTGCAGAGACCCTCCACCACCACCAAAAGGCCCCATGTGTGATAAGTGCCCACCATAGTCCTCTAACATACTACGGCCTTTCTTCCATAGCTGTCCCCCTATGCCCCTCCTAGATAACCCAGTGGCAGGTGCCCTTTCTTGGCTTTCAGGCTTCTCTCTTGTATCTCTGGGGTGGCACTCCCAGGATGATGGCCAAAGAGTCTATCCCATGATGATGGATTCTCCAGCTGAGAAATTCTCGAGCCACACATGGCTGTCAGTCTTCCTTGAGACCGGTCCCCATTAATATGGTGAGCATGAGCTGCCTGTAGCCAAAGATTAATTGGTGGGGGATTGGGAGATTTCTCTTCCATAACAATGGGCTTTTCTGCCTGTACTAATAAGATGCCAATTAGAATATTTACATTTTACGTTCAACATAAAGTTAGACTGATTTTTCCCAGAGGTGCAAAGAGGGTTGGGACCTCCTAAACTAGATGTCATTGGGGTAGATGACCAAGTGGCCTTCCACTGGTCAAGACCAAGGCCCACTCTGGGACACTGGGAAGGGCTGCTAGCTCTAGAGGGCAGGGATTCAAGTGAAGTGCTGCTCTCCACTTCATTCTTTCAGTTCAGTTCCAATTCCTTGGAGTGGCTTCAGACAGTGTCTTATTATATATGCCAAATGTTGCTTCAGAAAAAAAAAAGGCACGGAAAGAAAAACTCTATTAGACACAAGAAATCAATTCTGTTTTAATTTATTTTCATTTACCTTCTTATTCTCACCCCCTGCCCAGTCCTTCTAGGGGGTCAAATCTTTTTTTTCTTTTTGGTACTGGGAATCAAACTCATGTCATTGCACTTGTGAGGCAGGCGCCGGAGCCACTGAGCTAAATCCCCAGTCCCTAGGGGTCAAGTCCAATGTCATTCTCCCTCTGCCACCACTGCACAATCCCAGCCTTGGGTTACTGGACATTCTGCCACTGGGTCATCTCATCCATTCTGCTAGACACAGCTGCTTCCTTTCTCAGTCCAGGATATAAGCCCCAGCATTTTACAGTGAGAGCCCCAGCATTTTACAAAACTCTACCTGGGCATTTGTAGAGCAGCTGAGCACTTCTAGCACAGCTAGAAGACTGACAGTCCTGGGAACTCAGATGCGCAGCCCACAGGTAGGAACCACTAAGAGCCAGCCTGAGAGCACCTGAGGGCATGGATTTCAGCTCTTACTCCCGAAGGGCCACAGTTCCAAGCACAGTAGTGAGGGCTCAGTTAGGACCAACTAGTAGTTGGCTGAACTCAGCATCTCTCCAACATGTGATCTTCCTGGCAAGCAGCAGCTCTTCCGCAGGTAGACAGGATGGCAGGTTTGCAGGTGGAAGACCTGAAGCTCCTCTCATCCCACAGACTTACACCCCTGCTCCTGTTTCACTGCCAGAATTAGTATCCTGGGTGGCCTAAAACAATAGACATTTACCTCTCACAGCAGTAGAGACTTTAAGTTTGACGCAATAGACTTAAAATTGAAATTAAAGTATCAGAAGGGCCACACTCCCTCCTAAGGCTCTAGGGGAGAATTTGAGCCTTGCCTTGCCTCTTCTGGCTTCCAATGGCCCCAGGATTCCTTGGTTTATAGCTGCATCCTCACAGTCCTCAGTACAAGCCTCTTCAAATCTCTCTGTGTTCTCTCTTCACATTGCTACCTCCTTCTCCTTCTGCTCCTCTCTCTCCCTCTCCCTCTGTACTCTGTCTTAAAGACAATTGTCATAGTGTTTAAGGCCCACCTGGAAAATCCAGGATACTTCTCCCTTATCTCACAATCCTTACAATAATCATATCTGCAAAGACCCTTTTGCCAACTGTCACATCCCCAGGCATCAAAGATTAGGACCTAATATCTTTGGGGTCCACTTATTCAGCCCACAGTATGGCCTCTTACTATCTCTTTTGATCTGCCCAAGTGTCCACAGCAGCCCCTCTGAGCCTCAGTAATCCCTTCTGTGGTACAGGATGATCTTGCCAATCTGCCAACTGCTTCACATGGCAGTGGTGGAGCCTGAGAGGGGAGAGAGAGAGAGAGAGAGAGAGGGAGAGAGAGAGAGTGGAGCGTGAGAGGGGAGAGAGAGAGAGAGAGAGAGAGGGAGAGAGAGAGAGAGAGAGAGAGAATTTTCTAAGCTGCAAAGCCACACGCAAATGCAAGACAATATTATTGCACTGGGAGAGTGGCAAGTTTAGCACTTGAGAAAACTATCAGATTTTAAAACATACGAGGGAATAGGAAACCAATGTTATTCAAAAACCTCATTTACACCCTACACCAAAGCCTTCCACCCTCCCTGCCTCCACATTCTCCTGTGGCTGTAGGGGTGTGACAGAAGCCTGTCTTGGGGGTGGCTTTGTGGCCTGAAAACAAATCATTCTTCACAGCTTGCTCCCAAGTCCAATAAGCCAGAAGGAATTGGTAGAGAGATTTAACGATATGTATTTCAAGAAAAAGATGAAAATGTGTCTACTTTTAGGAGGTGCAGTAAAAATGCATCAGCCCCACAATAAACTTTGCAGTGAAGATGCATACAGGGGAAACATATAATGTAGTCAAAGTGGTAATGTCTCATTTACAGGGAAATCTTCCCTGAGACCTATTAGAATGTGCCCCTACCTGTGCCCTGTGGCTGCCGATGCCCTGTAGCACTGCTCTGCAAACTGTGTCTCACCTCTCCAGCAACACCAACCTCTGCAGGAAGCCATAGCTCAAAGCCAGCCTGCCCCTTGGTCTCCCTTTGAAGGCCCTACAAGATGTAGGCTGAAACAAGGAACAGATCTATTTCACCAGGAGTTGGCAATGACAGCCCTGAACACCAAATCCACACTATCTTGTTTCTTTTAAATAAAGTTTTATTAGAACACAGCCTCACTAATCCACCTCTGTCTGCTTGGTGCCACAATAAGAGCTTCACAGTTGCAATTTAGAGTGTTTAACCTTCAAAGTCTAAAATATTAACTATCTGGCCCTTCATAGAAAAAGTTTACCAATGCCCAAATGATAACATAAAACTAATAATAACAGGGGACTGGGGATGTAGCTTAGTTATAGAGCATATATTTAGCATGCACAATGCCCTGGATTTGATCCTCAGCGCTAAGAAAACAAAAGCAAGATAAAAACTAGTACCAGAATACACAATAGCTAACATCTTCTGGCTCTTCTGTGTTCCAGGCACTGGACATTGCTTCATTTAATTCTCAGAAGTAGTGTGGCAAAGAAGCATAGAGGAGAAGATTGAGTTTCAAAGGTAAATTTCTCAGCAGCTGCACATGGCTAGAACTGGGTCACAGTCCTGTTTGCCTGGCTTCATGGCTTCACTCTACACTCTATAGCATCACTGCATCATGAGCCCCCACGGGGGATCCCCAACTTCCTGCTGTTTAGGGCATCATTTCACGTCCTACTTTCACACCTCCGAGGGCCCGTGTCTGCTTAGCACAACTGAGAAAGGAAATGCTTCCCTGGGCTGCTTTCTTGTCCTTTCTCATCCTCTGCCTCCACCTCCCTCATTTCCCCACTGCAGCTCCTGGCCCAAGACTTTGTTCCATGTTTCTGCAGGACCCTGCATCCCACTGTTCTCCCTCCCACCCCTTCCCACAGGGTTCCCGCTCTGTCCTGCAGCCTCCAGTGTGTGCAAAGCAGCCCAGTGGAGCTGATGGGGAACGAGGCATTTGCATTCCACTTCCCGGGGCTGTTCAGATCTCACCTGCAATTCTTCTGACAAACCCTTATCAGCAATGCCCGTGCTGGAGTCTGTGGCGACTTTGTTCATTCTTATTAGCTCTGCACAGATTAGCTCTTCACAGTGCTTGGCTGGTTCATACCGATTCCTGATAAATGTTGTGACTGATTTTCCCAACTTGGGAGCGCTTGGGGACTGGGGTTGGAGTGGAAGTGGAGGCCCTGGAGGAAAGGGGCGGCAGCTAGGGGAAGGAGAGGAAAGCACAGGCAGGATTACATCTGGACTATGAAATATTCATCACATGCCTGCCAGAGCAGGGTCAGACCTGCTGCCCAGCAACAGCTTCTCCACCAGGCAGCACTTTGAAATGCACTGGCCAGGAAGGCTGAGGGCACTGCAGTGTCTCCCTCCTCGGCTGAGAGGCTTCTGAGAGAAGAGGCAGAGGAAGTTAAAAGGAAGGAGAACGAACCAGCTCACTTGGGCTTTGCTGTCCTCCTCAGTCTCTCCTTTTTCACTTGCTCTTCATAAGCAGCTTTTGATGGTGGAATACTGATGTTCCAGGTGGACAGTAGCTGTTCCCATGCATGAACTCTTCTCCTTCTCCACCGCAGCAAGCCTTCCAGAGGACTCCAGCTTAGCGTTTCCAGCCTTCCTCTCTTTCCATTCGTACTCTGAGGATTGTAGACAATGTGGATGATCATGCTTTGCCAGTTTCCTGTATTTCCCAACTATGCTGGATTCTGCTAAAAGACTTCCACGTATCTCCACCCCCAGGTAGATAACACAGGACTGGACACATGGTAGAGACATTCCAAACACCTTTGCCTAATTAAATATGCCCAATGCTTCTGTAGGTTGGCCAATAGCTGCCATGCCCATGCTGTTCCAACACAGACATCACTAAATAAGCTGTACATTTTCATCCTGAGTCTACATGTGGCTTTCTGGTTTTTCTCAGCATAGGCTCTGACCAGCCACTTTCTAATCAAATGGACGTGACCAAGAGATAAAAATATATTTCTTATCTTAGTTTTTGGTAGACCCTTATTAAGACTCCCTTTGTATTTTAAGAGCCTGGTACAGTGTCTAGTATAAATTAAGTGTCCAGCACATACTTTAGAGATGAAATAAATGACTATTCATAGATGTGAGTGTGCATTTTAAGTCACCCCTGAATCAATAAAGAAAATCTATTCCATACCTTCCTGAAGGTAATACCTGGTCATGAGCTATGCTCTGAGAATTCTTTCACTACCCCAAATCCTTCATGCTGCCGTGTGAGTATGCTACTGTGCTGCTCACCCATGGGAGATAAAAGCTATAGGATTTGAGACTTGGGGACCTCCTTTTCACCACCCTTTGCCACTGCCAAAAAGTTTATACTCTGGCACCCCGCTGTCTCACTCACTCTGGAGAAACCCAACTCATGCAAACAACCTCCATTCACCAGAAGATCCACACACACCCTGCAAGTAGAAGGCCTGGGAGGTCTTGGAGACCACTTTTGCTGCAGCCACAGTTTACTCATTAGCCCTTTGCCAGATTTATCTTCTCCCTGGTAGCCTGCTGCGCTTTGATTTGTCCTCCTGTCACCAGGACTAATGTTGACGGCATCACCCCTCTTGGGGCATCAGGCTCTCCAGCCTCCTGTCAGAGGCCTCAAGGAAAATGGATGAGCAACTGACCTGCAAAATAAATACCAGGCTTCCAGGTTCTGATAAAGATTAAATATTGGAGGAGTCATTTCGAATGAATATATAAAAGCAAATGGAAGAAGCCTTTTAGACACCGACAAAGTGAAATACAGGCAAACAAAGAGAGATGTCTTCAGGGAAGTACAACGGCAGGAAAGTTGGAGGCTCAGAATACAATCTCCCTACAAATATCCCAGCTTCAGGAAAGATTCCAAAACTGTCTTTCCCGCTTCCCTCCTCCTTCCCCAACCAGAGAGTGAAGAAAAGAAGTGCTAAGCTCCAAAACCCGCCTGCCAGAGGGATGCTGAAGTCAGCGCTGCTGACGCTGGCCCATCCAACCGAGGGAGAAGCCCCATCACTCAACACCATCTGCCTTTGGTGTGAGCCAGCCAAGAGCAGGGATTATTGGCAGGGATGGGGCTCTGAGGCCCCAAAGGAGAGAGATACTGGGGATGAGCAAGGTCAGGCATTGCAGAGATAGGACGGGGGCGCTGAGAGAGAAGCCAATGGCAGCAGATGGAGCCAGTGTTCCTTGGGCCTAGGGCAGGAATCAGTTCCTTTTCAGAAACCTGCACAACTGATTGCATATCCAAGGGCCCCAAATAACCAGAATTTCATTTCTACACGAAGAAGATTGAGCTGGAAGGCAACAACTGGGGAGACTGCTTCATGCCTACTACAGGTCTGGTATTGTGCTTTGGCATTCCACATTGACTGTTTCACTTAGTCCTCGTGACAGTCCGATGAGGTGGTCATCATCACCGTGCTTTACAGAGAGGAAAGGAGGCAAAGAAGATTAATGAACACAAAGTGGGGTGGAGAAAAAAAGGGGAAATTCTTCTTAATATAGATGTGCAGACGTGCATTGTGTACCTCTATCTCCAGTTGTTGTTTGTTTGTTTGTTTTGGTACGGGGGATCAAACTTGGGTCCTTGTGCTTGCGAGGCAGGTGGCAGAACCACTGAGCTAAATCCCCGGCCTCCTCCCTCTATGTCATTTATTCTTTACAGCCCTAGATTGTGAGTACTGCTGACCCCATTTTTCAACACTGAACAACTGAGACTCCATGAGGTTGAGAATGCAGCTTTGAAGCAGTGGTTTCTGTTGTATTTGGCTCCAGTCTGTTCTCTTTCCACCAGCAATGATGTGTTGGCAGTCTTAAGGAAGTGGGAAGATCCATTAAGTGTCACTGAGTTTGAGTTGAAGCTTCCAACTTGGTTGGAGCCTTAGAAACTGAGCCTTAATTAGGTTTGCATGTAGAGGACAAGACTCAAATCTCTTCGTTCTCTCCAACAGTGCAGCCAGCCTCCGAGCCCTGACTCCTCTGGCCTGGAGAACCATAGGTTCTACCAAGGTAGAACCATAAGCCCATATTTTAATAGGAAAGCTTTTCTTACCATAGTGTGAATGCTTCCTTTACCGGAAATGGCTGCAGGATACCCTTGTTACACACAGGAAGGGGGCACTGTACATAGAGAACACAATATATACTGGCCACTATGTTGGCCCAGATACCACTCAGTCCTAGCCTCATCTCACTCAAAGAAGCTGCTCTTCCCCCAGTTGTGATCCAGGGGAAGGGAGTGCCCAGTTCCAAGAGGTGAGGAAGGTAACTTCAAGAGCATTCCGGCTTTGGGGGCTTACAGTGAGCCTTCAATGGGCCACAGTGGGACTCAGCGCACAAGGATCAACAAACATGGATTGAGTTCGTTCTTGGTACCACACTCTGCACTGGCCACTGAGCACACAAAGAAGAGCAGGACAGACGCTGCCTTCAGGAAGCCCTCTCACTATACTCTGAGGGAGATAGATCAATGACAATCATCATGTTCTGTAACAAAAACCATCTCATAGTCTGAAAAGCAAATTGCTCTCTCTAATATAAGCTCTTATTTATTTGTTTATTTTTCATTTCATTCCCTCAAAGAATTAGTGTAGTTTTCCCATGTAGAGTCCAGAAAACTGGAGTCTAGTGAAGTTGGGGCCTGCCCAAGCCTACTCAGCAGCAAGCAGCATAGCTGGACTTGCCTAGGGACAGCCCTACTAACCCTCGGGCTCTAACAACTCCACCAGCCACGCCTCTCCCTCAAGCAGTCAGCCTGCCCATCCCCACCTACCACTACCCCAGTCTCTGGCCTCTGGACACCTAGGAGCTGGCTGTCAGGCCCTTGGTGGCCTTGCCAGGCTCCAAAAGTCCAGGTCACTGGCCTGACAGTCACAGTGGAGAGGTTCTATTGATTCAGGAAAGAATGAAGTGTTCAGGCTAATTCCGGTCTCCTGGCCTTCACTTCCCTTCATATTACAGTGCAACTGTTTCCTCGGTACCTCAGGTATCAATTTAGCAAGTGTATTTTGCATCAGTCCAGCAATTTCTGGTATTAAC